TGTTCCTTAGTTGCTTATAATTCTTGTATTCACTTAGATCTCTTACATAGTTTCGTATTATCTACTTTGTTTCTATGTGCATCCTGAGTAAAACTCACTATTATTATTACAACTGTTTGTGACAACTCATCACCTTTGTTACTACCCTAGTTTCACTTAATTTTCTTGACCTGTATTACCAACCTTCACTTGTTTAGTTAAAATTAACCTTAACCAATTGTAACTTTGTTTGACAAACTTAATGTACACATACATACAAAACAATGCATATATATTTGCGATTGTACAGCTAAGAAGATGAATTCGCCGAAAAGAGACTCTTCGCTGATCTACGTGTTTTGTTTTCATTAATGCCTGGATGGGGATTATCCATGAATTGAAAGGTTAAATTAATAAAAAAAATACAAAGTGTAATAAACAGGAAGATTGGGTAGAAAAGGCATAATAAGATCATAGTTACTGAAAAGCTTGACTGTCTGTACAAATAAGGATTAAGGACGTAGTAATAACAAAATAGGTGACAAGTTAGGATATATAACAGAAAACAAAACAAATCTAGTAATGCAGATAAGAATTAAAAACCTCAAAATAACAGAAATAAAAAAAAGCCGAACAAGAAAGGCAATAGGATAACCATTGTTGGTGGAACTGACTTTTCATGATGGCCACAGTAAGGACAACGGCTGAACGTATTTCTTTTGAACAAATAAGATGGGCTTGAGCTTTTGGATCACCATTACCTCCGCTATTCCTAGATGCCTTGATTTCGCTCCTTTAAATACATTTGATCAGATCTTGTATATGACTTCGAAGGAACTTTCAAATGGAGATGAATGTCCTGACTTAACCAGATATTCTATTACTGAATTGTACACATCCTTGCGTTCTCCCTTTGCTAACCATTCTGGATGATGTTCCCGAGTGCGTTTTACAAGTGTACTCATGGCACAGCCAGTATACTCGGTTCCATAAGAGCAGGTGAACTGGTGTATGCATACTGAAGTGGCTCAATACGACAGCTTCTATTTCACGTGCTGCTTGAATAGTTTCTTGCAGGGAAATTTCCCTCGTGGGCTGGCAGCGAAGGACGTTACACTGAGAGACTTCGAAAGTCGTCTACGGATAAGTTCTGCTTCGGTACCACTTTTTCAATTAGAGGTTAAGTATCAGCATCGTGCTGGGGCGACTTTCATCTTTTCAGGCATTTTCTTTGGTTTTAGATTCTTTTCTATGAATTGGGGTGGGAACATCGAAGAAAGAAAACTTTGAGTGAGATTCAAATTCCAGAGGGAAATCGACTTCTGAGTGTGTGTTACTGAAGGTTTGCAATAGGTCTTTTAGATCCAAATTCTCACCAAGATTAATGAAAGTGCCAGCAGTATATCTCCAGTAGAGATAGAGCTCATCAATAATTGGTGATAAGAAGTCGTTTTCTAGGCTAACCATGAAGTAGTCAGCCAAGGGAGCTTCTAGAGGAGAACTCATTACTACTCCATCTACTTACCTGTATACTTCGTCACTGAAACTAAAGTAAACGTTAAAGGTGCATCGTAGTAACAGCTTTTAGTATCTACCAAGTTGACATTCTTAATGGAATCGACAATATCGAATGTGTCCCAGAGTTTGTGTCTCGACAGCTCTTCTTTCAGCGTCCCAAGAATCTCTGCCAGCCATTTCGTGACTGAGTGATATGGAGAATCTACCATATATAGGATAAGGTGGAGTAAGACGTCTTTTTTGTGTACTTTAGGTAAGCTGTACATGCTTGGCGTTGAAGAACCCGATTGACGAAGTCGTTCGCACAGTTTTGTGCTAGCAATAGATTCAACTTTCATTTTCTTCAATATCTTTGTTAGCTAAATTTCTGTCTGTTCCGTGGGATTTTTCTGGAAAGACTGCTTTTGAAATTTCTCATCATCAGGTAGTATCACTGAGCTTTTACTTAGGAAGTCTGATTTGTTCAACAGGACAATTCCGGAACCTTTATCTGCCCTGTCACGAACACGTTTTCATTATCCTTCAGCTGCTTTCAATGTTCTTTGGAATGTATATCACGAAAGCTGGTTTTTTTCGGTTGATGTAAAATGTTCTTCACTGTCAGATGAGATTGGGATCAGATCATTGATCTGGCTAAATACTTTCTCGAATTAGACTTTCGTGTTGAGCTCATTCACTTTTGAAGTGAGAATCACAAAACTTAGGTCACAGTGTTAAGATTTGTTATTAGATAAACTAAAAATATCATATTTAAATGAGTTGTATTCATGCCATTAGTCATTTCTCTTTTATCTAATATAATCTGACAATATACTTCCATGGTAAACATTTTATCATGAAGATAGATAGGGGAAAAATTGTATGAAACTGTTTTTTTTTTCAATCCCTAATTTCTAACTACTTTACTCACTACCTACCATAAAGGTAAACACGTTTATTTGTTTATTGTAAAAAAACGTGTTTCTGGATAGAAAGGAAAAAGGTTGACAGTGAGTTATTGTCAACATTTTGAAGTAATAATATTAAGTAAATAATTAAGACTGCAGCTTCACTTCGTGACTTTTCTTCCAAACATTATGACAAACTAATGACTGTCACTAGCACAACTAATGATTCGTCAAAATATTCACCAGTGGTTCAGTGATAGAAAGCTCACATAGCATGCCTCGTGTGCTCTGGGATTGATTTCTGGTTGGCGCAATCTTAAACGCCTCTCACAGCCATTCTTTGGTAAGCCCTATGAAGAGGGAAAGACGGTTTGGCGATAGGTTAATAACCCTTAATCTTTAAAAAGAGAGAAATCTCAAATATGTTTTAATATTATTATGTTAAAATTATTTACTCATTACATGACTACAGAAGTATCGCTTGAGCTGTGTAGACAATTTTACATTTGCGGTGAAATTTTTCAACTTTCAAGAAGGCAATACATGATATAATCCATATTAATCAGTAGTATTGTTAAATTTTACTAAAAATGAAACTAGATATTCCAAAATGGTAACATAGAACCGCGCCTAATCCCTACATTCTACTATATAAACTGGAAGATGGATGGATAACCTAGAAAGAAATGTTCTTAAACAGAACATATTCACAGATCAAGACATACAAGCGGTTCTTAACTTGCACTCCTTGTTAAATTTGTCACGAACCCAAACAAATCAAAATTTGTTCCGTAGGTAGGTAGTTTACCCATGGAATTGTAATGCATTCATAGTTCCTCGATTACGATGTGATAATGATGTTGTTTTCTGAAGTAAATGAGTCAGTGGGTCAATGGGAGAATACTCCCCAGCCATGTATCACACGGTCCGACCGAGGCAATCTTAAATGTCATATACTTCACTTGCCAGTGGTAAGCCCAGAAATTATTGTCGAGAGTGAAGCTGTGCACTCTACACCCGTAAATGCTTGAAGCCCGACGTTTCATTCGTAACGTAAAGAAAGCACTAAATAATGTCAAGAAATTAAGTAAATTTTGGGAATTTTGACCGATTTAGGAGGACCTTTTGTTTTTAAAATGACATCAAGGAATCGCTTGTGCTAAAGACTGACATAACGCTTTTTGGAAGATATTATGTGCAAGTCTAAAGATAAGCTAGCTAGTTCTGGCACATCTCAATGTTTAAGTATTGGTTTTGTAGAGATTTTGTTTGTTTGGATGGAGGATTTCATCATGAGCTGACATCAGTTAGAGAACCACTGGAAAACCTGGGAGTACTGGACAGCTGTTTCGTCAGTCTTGTTTTGGGACTCTTCATCAGTACGCACCCACTGGGGTTCGAACACAGGAACTTTTGGTTACAAGGCTAGCTAGCTCGCAGACCATTCAACCACTGGGATCCAATCCAGTGGCCAGTCCATGAATTCTAACTTCTGCCAATTCATGACATAGCGCGACCAATTCGCAGTTGTCTTCTTCGATGAGTTACTGCCTCATCTTCAATCTGCTGTACCCTACTGGTCACGGCTTCCCACTAGAACCTCAGGTTGATAGATACATTGAGATGCATCTTGTTTAAGATGGATTTGAGGAGAAAAGAAGCAGAGAGCCTAACCAAAGTCTCAGAAAATATCTTCCATCAGATCTGGTTATAAGGATAAGAACCAACTACAGTTCCATTCAACGAACAACAATCAATCACCTGATATGATTTTTTCATATCCTGCAGAATTCTTCTTATCAATTCCGTGTACATTTCTGGTTTTATTTTTTGTTATAGCTTGAAACCACACAGTATTTTTGGTACAAGTATGGAATTTTCAGCATGTGATATCGGTAGCCCAAATTTTGCAGGCCGACCATAGATATCGGGTGTGCGTCGGCAGGGGATCGAACCTCGGACCATGTGCATGGTCGGCGAGCGCCTTAACCACTGTGCCACCGACGCACATCTTCCAAGGTTGAAGAAACGCCTTGCTGCCTGGTGAGTGCCATCTGGCATGCAACCTAGGTTGAAGGCTTTCTGTAGATTGCCTTCAACCATCTAATATCAACTATACACAGTCCACCGTGATGGTTAGCCACCTAGTGACATACTAGCCATACTATAAACTTAACTGATAGGACTAGACACATTACACTAGTTACTGACTAGTGTTCAATCAAAAACTATCCAATACAGTCCTACAGAAGGTCAAACGTGAGCCCGAATAACTCAGTGATAGCGTCTCTGACTGCAGCACTGTGTATCGCAGGTTCAAACCTTAAGAGGGATATGAATCCCCTCAAGGTTACAGATACACTTTGTTGAGGAGTGAGTGTCAACTAACACTAAACCTAGGTCTAAGTCTTCCTGCCGATTGCGTACAACCGTCTAACAGATGTTTCCTACATAACTAAGATTATTAGCATGCCAACTAATCCACTAGGCCCAAGAAATATTGATCGTAATAATGCTTTATTATTTGTTTCCCTTCTCTTTTTCCCTCTCTTTCCAGAAGTTATTTCTGTACAGTAATCAATAACTTAGTCAAATTTAACTCCTAAATCAAATGCCATGGATGCTGAAAATCGTGTCATTTTGAATGTTGGTGGTATTCGTCATGAAACCTATAAGGCAACATTGAAAAAGATACCAGCGACAAGGCTATCAAAGTTGACTGAAGCTTTAGCGAATTATGATCCTGTATTGAATGAATACTTTTATGATCGTCATCCAGGTGTATTCTCACAAATATTGAATTATTATCGTACTGGTAAACTTCATTATCCTGTTGATGTATGCGGTCCACTGTTCGAGGAGGAGTTAGAATTTTGGGGATTAGATGCGAATCAGGTAAGTTATTATTATTATTTTATTGATGTATTAATTTGTATACTGAATGTACTAGAATGAATGTACTAGAATCGAAAAGGCGAGAAACATATTCATCAACCTGAAACCAATCCGGAAATATTCGTCACTCGGCATCAATAACATGATTCGGATTTTCAATACAAACGTCAAGTCAGTCAGTTCTTCTATACGGATCAGAAACTTGGAGGGTCACAAAGAATATTTTCAACAGCCTGTTGCAGACCTTTATCAACAACTGTCTTCGCTGGCTCTATACTGAAGATCAGATGGCCGCCGGAAAAACCACCAACAAGAAACTATGGGAACAAACAAAACAAGAACCAATCGCCCAACAAATATGCAGGAGAAAGTGGAGATGGATTGGACACTCACTGAAGAGGCCGCTGGGTGACATCGCGTGTCAGGCTAGTGCTCGAGTGGAACCCGAAAGGGAAGCGGCGAGTGGGACGTCCAAGGATGACATGGAAGAGATCCTGTGAAGAGGAGTTGAAACAGTATGGACTAACATGGATGCAGGTGAAAGGTTCAGCAGAAGACAGAAGCAAGTGGAGACGTGCAGTTGAAGCCTTATGTTCCACTGGGAACCCAAGGGAACAATAATAATAATGAATAATAATGTACTAGATAAGATGCTTTGTTGAATAGATCAAGAATACTTCATGCAGGAAATAAAAGACAATTCAGTGAGGAACATTTTCTTTTACCAGTCAGAAAGGCATGCATCTGCAACCTTGAGGGAACTCATGTCACTTCTGAGGAGATTCGAACGCATGTCACCTAGTGCTGCAGTTAGAGACGTTACCGCTGAGCTATTCAGACTCGCACCGGGATGGCGAGCTATTTAGAATGGTTGCCACATTGCAAACCTGACTGATAGAATTCAGTGTGCACCAAAGAAAGGACTATACACATCACACTAGTTACTAGTTTCCCATCAAAATAGTCGTCCATTATTGAGTAGTAGTTGAGGGAGTTGACATAATTGATATAATTACTCAGAAGTGGCCTCAAAATTAAAAATAAGAGTTGAAAATTACGTAATACTCAGAGGCACTAAGGAAGAAGGAGTTCGAAATTTGCCAAGGTAAAAATTGTTATTGAGTGAGATGGAAATTACTGGAGTGACCATCTAATAAGTATGAAGAGGGTGAGATGTACAAGAGGAACATATGAGAGTGATAATAGTAGATTACTTATAAATAAAAGTAAAAGCAAACTAATCGTTAAAAATGAAAAATTTACAGGGAAAGACTAGTGAAGAAGCTAAGACCATGATAGAATAAGAGACTGGACAAACCTTTTTCTGTATACAGAGTTCGAGTTCGCCTCCACCATACACAAAAGCCGAGACCTAACGGCCTTTGTACCATTTGGTTACTTTGTAGATAATCTTGAAAGACGACTGTGGTGAAGCTGTGTGGCTTGAGTTCACCAAGTACTCAAGAAGCGGATTAGTAACTGTCTTGCACTATCCATTTGCTAACCATGACGAATAATGTTCAGCGACGCGTTTGGAACTTCATCAAAAGACATCTACCCCCAACCTAACCTTCCAAGTTAAAGGCGCCCTTGGAAAATACAAAGAAAATCGCCTTTTCACATGTCAGAGATATCTTCAAACTCTTCAAACCTTTAGGAATAGATGTCTCACACAAACCAACAAAATCATGCACAACCTTCCCATTCTTCCGAATTTATTACTGCCTAGGCAAGATTAGCAGTTCATCGGCTAGGAATCGAGCCTAAAACTACTGACGCACATAAATCAAAATAATCTGCTATGAAAATTACAGTCTGAGGTACTGCATATTACCAGTTTGCTAAGGTATCCAGTCGAAATTCGAGTAGTGTGAACGGATTAGGTCCTCTAAACTGAGGTATTCTGGTTACATCGTTGAAGAGTGACACTTGAAACGAGTAAGACAGGCGTTTCGTGTTTCGATTACTTACAGATGGCTGGCAAGGACTACCGGTTGATGTAGTTGGTTTCATTCACACTAGCCATATCAGTCAGTTGTAAATACATATTACATACATATTACAAAATAAATGAAATTTAGAGCAAATCAGAATCCAGGATTATACTGTGCTTTAAAATCAAAACAGTAAATTTAGAGAATGTCATGGAATAAACTGAGGATAGATTTTCAAAGCATCTCCACAAAACGTTCACTAAAATAATCCCAGCGTGATAAGAAAATCCGAGTGAAGATAGGTTCAGAAAAAGGCTTCTATGATTTCCTAAAGTCTCTGTGAATATTTCAAATAACTTTGACGGACTAACTGACTGGTCTCAACATAGAACTTTGTACAGATGTGCAACAGTTCGAGTTGCCACTCTCCCTTCATGTAGTACACAAAGCAAGAGAAAAGAATAGAGAGAGATTCAAAAGGAGGAGATAATAAACAGAAGTGTGAGTCAGAGAAAGAGAATAGTATTATGGAAGAACAGTAGATTTTCATTGGATGTGAGAAATCAGAAAGAGTGAACGCATCTGCAACAGCCATTTCTGCAATTGTCTCCAGCCTTCATTAGTTCGTAACATCCCGAGGACTCCAACAAAGAAACCTACACCTCCCTAAGTGGCTGGATTAAACTAACTGTTATGGATTTCATTGACTGATGATGCCATATTTTAGTTGGGATACCACCAACTTTCTCTTTTCCAACTTGATCCATCATACGTCAGTCAGCAAACATTGTCCGTTGTCGAGGAAGGCGATGGCTTGGCTAGCATGCTTAACATATATCCTAACCACCTCAATCGATGCATCTGCTTCACAACCTTTTCGATTGATTTCCCCTCCCACCTACCTAGCAGTCGACCAAAACTTTACCTCAATATTGCTCACTGTATTATACCACTTAGCACGGGAGGTAGAACGCAGACACCTATAATCAAAGGTAGCCATCTAGCCTTTTCATATCTTCTACTTTAAGTGGCCATGTCTCATAGCCATTGAGGAGGACGGAGCAGTACACACATCCTTTGATTTGTAGCCAGATATCACAGCCACACCAGAGGTAGTGTAATTTGGCGAATGCTAAATGAGCCTTCTGCATATGTGCCGAGATTTCGTCAGCGACTAACCTTCGAGAGCTGATGCAACTTCTCAAATAAGTGACTATCTTTAAGGTAGGATTTGACACAGTCCAGTCTCGTAGCATAATCTTACATTTGACAGGAGTAATTCGCATGCCAAACATTCGAAGCTTGCTGTTCCTCAGGGCGTTCATAAGACTCTGTATTCTGTCAGCGTCTTCACCTTGGAAGGATAACCATATAATCTGCATATTCTAAGTCAACAAGATTATTCCCTGGTGGTAACAAGTCAATCCCTTAGTGACTAAAGTGAGTTAGGGTTAAGTCTATTAGTAACTTTATAATGACTCAGTAAGACTATATGCTCTATTTTATAAGGATATATAACTGTCTAGTTATAGTTCAGGTTCGAGTCCCTGCCAACACAGTCTGAAAGCTTGACCAGCCAACAGCAGGCCAGGAAAAGAAGTGACTAGATGTAGAACTAGCGACCCGTACAAACAACATTTGCGCTGCTGAAGCTTAATACTCGGAACCCTATATCTCACTTTCGCAACACAAAACGATGGGCAACAAATAGTTTTCCTGATCAATACCAAGGTAGTTAGAAATATCTGTCGTGCTTAAGGCTGTCTTCAGTCAACTTAACATATCAATAACCGGCTTCCTGCCGATTGCCTCCAACTATCTAATATCATCAAACCAATGTGCACCATGAAAGCGAGCTACCCTAGAATGGTGGCCACATTGCAAATACCTGACTGATAGAATTCAGTCTGTACCAAAGAAGGTCTACATACGTCACATTAGTTACTAGTGTCCAATCAAAACACCCACTACAGTCCTACAGGAGGTCAATCGTGAGCCCGAATAGCTCAGTGGTAACGTCTCTCTCTGACTGCAGCGTTCACTGGGTGACGCGGGTTCGAATCTCAGAAGGGACATGAGTTCCTTCAAGGTAGTTGCAGATACGCCTTGCTGACGAGTGAGTGCAAATAGCACGAAACCTAGGTTGAAGGCTTCCTGTGGCAGATTGCCTCCAACTATCTAATATAGCTTTAAACCTTCCACACTATATTGTCTGTCAATGCCTAATGGGATATTGAGTCTCTTTAACACAAAGCTAATCTGTCAACACACAACTGATCTCACTCACAATGAGTAGACTTCATTCACTAAACTTATTTTATCCCTTCACGTTCCCAGTGGAACATAGGGCTTCAAGCTAGAGGTTTGAAGTTTCTATAGCAGTGTTTATTTTACAGGATGGGGTTGCCAGCCTCATGACCAACCTTTCCTCTTTGCCACCTTTTATTTCTGGCTAAGCGAGGTAAAGGTGTGCGTCGGCCGGGGATCGAATCCCGTGCCATGTGCATGGTCGGCGAGCTTCCTAACCGCTATGCCACCGACGCACCACTTAACTTTAGTTAATCCAATAATAAAAATCAGATAGTGTCTATCCAGCTTAAGCGTTCACAACTAACCATCTCTCATTGTATATTTCAAAATAACTAATTAACCAGACACAGAAAAAGTTGTACAAAACACTCTAATGAACAAACACAGTTTCTCTAACTCTCTCTGAGTAAGTGCACATTGGCATAATTCCTTCCTTCCAGTTCATTTAACCTGTAAAATCCTAATCAACTTTGCATATACATATATATAGCACAGTAATTGTATGAAAAAATAAAATACAAGAGAAAATTAAATGATATTTCTAATAACCATATGAAGGATAAGGAGCCAACTTTAAGCCTTATTTTTTTGGTTTGTTTCATTATTGATAGGTGAATAAAGCAGAATCCACATCATTGTATATTTTTTTAGTATTTACTGCTGTATACTACTTATTAATTCATATAAGCGTAATGATCATAAGTGAATTATTCTGATCTGAATGCAAGAAACCAGTCGTTGCGTTTTACCGAATGG